CCTTATACAGTGGGCTGGTGTTCTATTGGTTCTCTGTGCTATCCTGAATTAGAGACAGTTGTGAGTTATGTTTCCACTAATTTTTGTCAGGAATTTACAAAGCACATGCATTTCTTTATCTTTGGGATAGAAAAAAAACTTGGGATCTTAAAACATGGAATAAATGGGGAAATAGAAACTCTTGAACTCATCAATTCAGGTTCAGGACTGTCAAGTGTTTTACTCTTAAAGGTTTGTGTTTGAATGCATGTTACTGAAGAATCAAGGTTATCCTGACCCACCAATAAGCTCTTCAACATATCTACACTACATTTTGGGTCCAGTTCAGAGCAGGAATGCTCTGGGATAGGCTCCAGAGGCTTTGGAGGTGTCTATACACTCCATTCAGATATGGTTGTGCTGTTTATACTCTGCCCAAGTTCAGTGAAATGCCAGAGCAGTCTCCAGTGTTCCTTAGCATGGGGCTAAATTGGTTCAGCCCAGTTAACCCCATGTTAATGTCCTTGGACATCAAGTAGACATCCAGGAGTGATTTCTGAGCTATTGTGGGATGGAGGTTATTTTGGCCAGTGCCAACCAGCCCTAAAACACATATTCCAGGAAGTTATGTACAACTTGGCCCTTCCATAGCTATATCTATTGAATTTGGTTGTTTCAATTAATATTTTAAGAATGTAACAAGATTAACATTTTTCTCCATGGTTGGTGAAAATTCAAGTGTTGAAGAAAGAGGAATGTATGAAGTTATTTATTTATTTATTTGCTTTTATCCTGTTTTTCTCCTATGGATGGGACTCAAAGTGGCAAAAGTTCCCATTCCACCCCAGAAGAAATTGAAATTAGAAGCCATTCTCTTTCACCCTTTGCTTCTTATAGAATTTCTCAGACAGTTGTCTCCTTTTCTGGAATGAGGGGGAAGAGGAAGAAGAAACCTGAAGTCTGCATTCAGTATGAAGGGATTGAGTAGTAGTTTAAACAAATCAAATCAAATCCCCACTACTAAAGCAAGTGACATATCCCTTTTGAGGTTCTGATTATAATAAAGTTAAAAATATTGTGACATGGCAACAGGCCTGGTTTCAATGACAAGTGGGAAAGAAACAATACAGGATACTTCCCAACCAAGTCAAACATGCTGAAAAACCCTCCTGCTAAAAATAATAGTTCCAGTTGTAATTATAGATTCCTGGCACTGCTAATCAACCATCCTACTCAAGGCTTAGCTCCAGAAAGAAAACATTAATAAAGCATTTTAATTACCTATCTCTATCCCCCACAACATACTCGATAGACTTATAAAATATTTTCCAGCTGTTTTGTGTGACTTGGAAAAGGGAATGAAACAAGGGACAACCCACACCAGCTATACAGCAGTAACCATAGAAACTGTAAATAGAAAAGAGCATTTTGATTATCAGCCTAAATGAAGGCAAGAGGGTTCACAAAGCTTTGAAAGAGTTCTGCTTCAGCAAACCTTTTCTGAGGCAAATGTTCCCTATGCTCTAAATGTCACAGTGGGAAGGGGGAAAAGGTACAAGTATGCAAAGTATTTTCCGATTAGAATGTCAGTGCCATAAGAATGCCACTATTAAATACTGAAGTGGAATAGCCTTTCCAGGACTGTATGAAAATGCAGGTGGGAGAACTGAGTGTAGACGTGCCCTGTAATTTTTCACAGAGCAAAATTAGCATGTAAAGGAATTGGAGAGGCGGGAAGCCCTTTCTCTGATGCAAAGCTCTGACAAGTAGTGTTTGACCTTTTGGAAAGTTATGATGTCTACCACCCACCTTTTAAATTGGTCCAAAAAGATGCTATGGAATTATCTGGAACTCAGTTTAGTGTTAAATCCAAAAAAATACAGTTAAAAATGCTATGGGATTTTTTTGGAACATGGTTTAGTTAAGGGAACTGAGAAAGTTGTCATTTTGGTGTTTTTCTTCTTCCTATTCCACTGTGGGGTGAGAACAATCTTGGCAACTTTCTTGCACACTAAAGTCTGTGAGCTGTGGGTGACAGTTCGGGTTCACAGATTTTGTTGTGGGAAAGAAATACAAAAGTTCGTATTTTGCATTTCTCAGTAGAATCAGAGAAACCCTTTCTGCCTTGTATGCCTATTTTCCTTGATTACCTGTCAGAAAAAAACAAGTTCCAAGAGCATCTTATAATCAGGTTTGGATGCTTTGATTCAATAGCAATGTCCACTTGGCCATAACTAGAATGGTTCCAAAGTTTGCATATCTTCCTGGATTTAGGAATTCCAAATTTCCAGAGTAGAATCAATTAGGAATCCCTTATTGTTTCATTACTTTTGCGTAAGGCATTAGGCATATTTCAGTTTCTTTTTATGTTTCTCCCCTCTTCTCCTTTTTAAATTCACATATGCTAATTGATTACATTGCAAAAAGAAAAACAAAGTTCATTGAATTAAAGATGTTTCTGCTGTGGATTTTTATGTGTTTTCTGGGCTGTAGGGCCATGTTCCAGAAGCATTCTCTCCTGATGTTTCATCTGCATCTATGGCAGGTATCCTCAGATGTTGTGAGGTCAACTCAGTGATTCTGGCCATGAAAGCCAGAACAATCCAATGATTCAAGCCATGAAAGCCTTTGACAATACATTGTTTGTGCTGTGTTTTCAAAATCTGCAAGACACTATCACTACATCTGTTGCACAGCACAAAGAAAGAAAAATCTTGAAATTATTGTCTCTATTATCAAAAGACAAAAATGAATGTGCACATCAGTATATGTATACAGAGTGGGGAGAGAATTTCATTTTATTTAAATTACATTCCATCTTTCTCCCAATATGGGAGCTGATGTCGCTCATAGCACATGGATGTCACTGAAAGCTGCAATGTTTCCTAGCTCAGCAATTAGTTTTAGATATTTTCCTAGTTAACTACATTCATAGAAGGAGAATGCAGGACAGAATGAACCCAGTAAACCATTAATGGAATCTGTTCAAATCTGGTGAAGCTCAGCTGAGTTGGTATGGATGGTAGCACACAGAGAATATGAACTGGCATTGATTATCTGGTAAATCTGAGTGGTACGGGTGTCTTATATGTTTTTAACCTGGGAGACAGGGGAATACTAAAGTAATTGTGTGGAAATTTCATGGTCCACTTTCTTTTATTGTGGCTGGGGAGAAAGTAGGAATAATTTCAGCATTTGTGACAATTGCAACCATGACAGTGACTTGATCATGGCTTTCTTTTTTGTTTTACCTCCTAGTTGGCTAGTCCAGCCTGTGATCATACCAAAAGGTTGAAGGGACTCTAACTTCTGTTGAATTATAGAACTGGAAAGCACTTGAAGGACTATATAATTGTATGTTCAATCAAAATATTTCTTAGCATAAGTTTATGGTTAGTTGATGACAACAAAAGCAGTTTGAGAAATACTTTCAGAAATATAGTGTGATTCTAGGGAACATATTTCCAGTCTTTCCATAGAAACAGGAAACTTTGAATAATACTAAAACCTACTTAAATAAATTACTCCCACTAGAACAGTGGTTTTCAACCTGTGGTTCTTCAGATGTTTTGGCCTACAACACCCAGAAATCCTAGCCAGTTTACCAGCTGTTAGGATTTCTGGGAGTTGAAGGCCAAAACACCTGGGGACCCACAGATTGGGAACCACTGCACTAGAAGTTGACATAGAGTTGCTCCGAAGGACCAGGAAAGTTCTGTAGAATTATGCTAACTAGTTAATCAACTAATACGTACTTATGTAAATATTTCAGAATAGGCTTTTTTCCATATAAATATATAGTTGGCCCTTCTCTGTTCTAGATAGACAGATTCAACCAACCATTGCTTGAAAATATATTTTTTTTAATTCAAAAAAGCAAAACTTTATTTTGCTATTCTATATGTTGCTACATAACAGTGTATTCTGGGGCTTGAGCATCCTCAGAATTTTGGTATTCACATGGTTGTGGGCATCCAATGTATACAGAAACATAGAGGAAGGGAAAAAACTGTCATGACCTCTCTCAATCATATCTTCTCACATTAGCAAGTGAGATGAGATAGAATCCTATACTGCAATTTGGGATGTTTGAGGAATATGACCCGGGCAAACTGTTATTTGCAATGACCTTATCTGTATCTCACAAAACGTCATGAGGCTCAGAACACCTCTGTGTAATAAATTTTGGCGTTCTCCATAAAGTTATTTGCAATATAACCATAACAAAATACTATTTGGGACTGATTGTAAGAGAAAATGCCCATTCAGATTTTATATACATGTGGAAAAAGATATTTTAAGACATATTTTAATATTATAGATGATGAATAAAACAAACTGAATCGTAATTATTGGTAAAAATCTTCATGGGGAAAGAACCAGAAATATATAGATCTTCCCCATGTCCAAATGCATCTGTGTCCATGCCCTGAAAGAAAATGTTAAATGCCAATGATTTCATAGAAATTTAGCGGCAACATCCACAACTCTGTCTTCCTAATGTACCAGCAGCAATCCATTTACATGATTCTACTGTAATACCGAGAATAGACAATGCTGTGCAATGATGCAGTAACAGTGAAGAAAAACTTGTGATATCTTGTTCAGATCCCTGCCAAGGTTGGTCTTGAGTAGAGCTTTGGGCAAAATGTGAAATGAATTAGAAAGATTATGTTCCATTAGCACATCCATAAGAGCTTTAAGGGGGAAAGTTAGAAGATTAGAAAGAGGTCTTGTGATATGTCCAGTCTTCTGCACATTGGGAGAAGTGACAAACATTTCAATGTGGATTGCAGTCTGCTGTAACGGTTAGTACCGGATCTCTCACAGGGAAACCCTAGTTCAAATCTCTTATCAGCCATGAGGTGAAACATTGTCTCCTGGTGGGCCATATGGTCTATATCCTGATCAGGAAAAGTACTGGAACGAGGTCAGAAAAATCACTTGCACCATGTTCAGGAAATTATGGAATCAAGCAAACATCGACACAGTAGTAATAGGAGTAATAATAAGAAAATTACCTGGATCTGTAGCAGACATCAAGGAACCAAAGAATAAACAATCAGTGAAATGAAAGTCACCGCTCTTCAGCTGATTGAGATGCACCATGGCTTTCACAAAGCCATACATTACCAACCTGCATAAGTGAGAGAAGGGGAAAAACCTTTAGACCCATTATGGAAATCACAATTCTCTTATTCCCAGACTGGTTTTCTCTTTAAACTGCTAGGCATTTGCCTCCAAATTCATTTTGATACTTGTTACAGCAGTACAGAACATAAATTGTTTATGTCGTGTAAACCTAGTTCTGCTTTAGCCTTGAAATATTATATCAAAATTTTGTAGACGGGAAGGGGAGAAGACAGAAAAATCAAACCAAACCTCCTTTTTTGGGGGGGGGGAGATGATCAATTTATTCACTTGGTGACAGATGACAATATATTTAGCCACTTATTTCACGGAAATAATGTGAAGCAAGCTAAAGAAGAGATTATCAAGAGCCGTCTGTCAGATAATATAGAGTCTTCACAGAAGTGGTATGACATAAGCGGTTGTGTTGACAAGTTCTAACAGATCTCAAAGGATTGCTTTTGCTGCTATCAATTTAAGGTGCTGGTGTTGGCCTACAAAGCCCTAAACGGTTCCGGCCCAAAATACCTTTCTGACCGCATCTCGGCCTATAAGCCCACGAGGGCCTTGAGATCATCTGGGGAGGCCCTTCTCTCGATCCCGCCTGCCTCACAGGCACGTCTGGCGGGGACGAGAGATAGGGCCTTCTCAGTGGTGGCCCCCCGGCTATGGAGCACCCTCCCTGTTGACATCAGACAGGCGCCCTCACTTATGGCATTCCGTAAGAGCTTAAAAACATGGCTATTCGAAAAGGCGTTTAACTAAGTGCTACAAAAAAATTTGGCAATGACGACTGGAACGGAATATGGACTATGAGATTGGCTTATGATTCTATGTTGAGACGACGCGGATGATTTAGTTTAATTATATGTATTGTAAACTGTTTTTATATGTTGTACACCGCCGTGAGTCACCCTAAGGGGCTGAGAACGGCGGTCAACAAATGCAATAAATAAATAAATAAATAAATATCATAGAATAATTTTTTGTTTATTTATTAAATATTACAAGGATATGCATTTTTTTAAAAAAATTGGGCATCTTGCTCTAAACAATATAGGTAACAGTCAATGTAGCAACAATCAATCAACAGGTCAGACTTGAAAAAAGTGTTTAACTCTTGCTAACGTTGCAACAAGAGAACTCCATTTAATTGTATATTTCCCTGTTGTAGAACAATCTTGAGTTTTGGTCATTTGAATGACATGGAAGTCATTAGCCTTATTCATTTTTTGAACATCTTTAGAAAATATACTAGTTGGTGGCTCTGATATTGGTGTAGTGGTGAATCTCCTGTTGATTTCAGTGTGGACATTAAAGATGCTTTCCAAAGTCCTTCAAGATAGGATTAAAACCTTGAGTGTATTTGCCATGTTAATGGCATCAAAGCACTGCTGACACTGTTTAGAACATGACAAATATTCAGTATGTTTGTAATGCAAGGAGGTCAGATGCAACTGATCCAACACAAAAATTTGTAACCTCCCTGTCATAGAATATAAATATTTGTCACTGTAGACAATAAGGGGTCTGTATATTTCTGTCAAGAAACTGCATTCTTTCCACCATGACATTTCCTCAGTGATATATGCCTCAGTAATCAAATATGTCAAAGAAGCCCACAATTAAATTTAAGACATGTAGTGAACAAAATATTATGTATTAAAAAAACTCTCATCATTTGAGGGACCACTTCTACAAAAACATATTAAATATGTTGGCTGGCTACACCCTAAGGTAGATTTAAGTACATCTTCAGTGAGCACACAGAATCATCAGGAAAACTCTGACTGGTGCCAGCATTCTTTTATGTTATTTCATAAAAATATTTAATCCCACAGATATCTCAAACAATACTGGGACAAGGACAAGATGAGCTGAAAGTGATTGTTTTACTATTTGGCCATATACAGTAAGGATTTGAGACCAAAAACTAAGCAAACTGCATGTAAACTTGAATTCAGTTCAGGGATATAATAGAAAATAAATTATGATGGTTAAATACCAGTATTATAACTGATTTCCTGTTGTATACTTAAAACCTCAATCACAGTTAATGTATATCTCAGTAAGTTTGGGGGATCTACCTGAGATTAAACTCCATATGAGTCAGTTTCAGTCAGCTTCACAAGACGAACCAATCTCTTTTTTAAAAAGAAAATTCTGACATCTGATTTCCACTTAAGCATTCCATATATCTGATACAATTTTAATGCCAGTAATATGATCATAATAGATTTAACAGCTGGTTTAATTATGCAGAACATAATTGCTATGGGCATAACATAGTTGCTATGAGTCATACTTTCCTATTTTATTTTTCTTCTTGTTTATCAGTATGCATGTTCCATGCCCCTAGCAGCCCAAGAGAAAAGGTAGCATCGAAATTGATCTTCAAGAGAGGTAGTGCAACTCAAACATGTATCTTTATTTCTCTTGTGGAGGCTGGTAACATGATGAGAAAGGACACAATTATGCATCGGCTGCTTTTTTCATACCTTTAATTGGCCATATAGGTCAAGAAGCACTAGAACTTTTATCTATTGACTCCATGAACTAGAAGAAGGGTTTTTTTCAAAGCTACTGTACAGAGAAATGGAGAAGGGATGAGCTTTGGAAAAGTTTATAAGCTTGTAAACTTGTAAGCGATTGGAAAAGATGGCCCGAACATAAGAAAACGGCTTACAACATTAGGCAAAGGCAACAATGCAGATTACTATGCCAGTTACTGGGGGGGGGGGGGCACTCTTGGATGTCTTTATAGTCACTGAGGATTCCTTGGAATTTGACCTCAAGGCTCTGAATCCTGGAATGGGGACAAGAACTTCTCTATCCAAAGCTCTGGGCCTTCAGGGACAATGAATAACTAATACCTTCCTGTTAGATACACTACTACAGAACATATACTGAGACAACAGCACTAATGCAGAAGGGTGTGTTATTCAAGGTCCATGCTCCTTCCCACTCAGCATGAAAGCTGGTTTAATAACAGCACATATTTAGCTATTTACCTATATGCTAATAAAAAAGAAATTGTGTTTAACTGAACATACAAATAGTACCCCACCAAGCTTGAAAGCAATTGATTAAAAATAATGTGTTACCTATTATTCATTGAACCATTAAAACAACAGTTGCAAACATTATTTTAATCATTATAGTATCAACAATGTTAACAGCTGGAGAAATGATTAATGGCTTATTTTACTTTAATTTTTTACTGCAGCAGATAGGTTTTTAATTATTTAAATAACTCTAAGTGATGTATTGTCGAAGGCTTTCATGGCTGGAATCACTAGGTTCTTGTGGGTTTTTTTCGGGCTAGATGCAGGCGAAACGTCAGGAGAAATGCCTCTAGAACATGGCTCTATAGCCCGAAAAAACCCACAAGAACCTAACTCTAAGCGAGTTCAATAAATTTAAAAGTAGTACACTACCAATAACAAACCACCATTTACAATTCAGCTTTCAAAATCTAAGTATCAAAAAAGTCACATCAAAACATATGCATAAAAATTCTCAGTGAAAGCAAAGAGAACTTGAAGAAAGAGGCACTTTATTTCTCTGTGTTTGAAAGCAGGTGGAAATTCATGTGAAGCATGTGTTGTTGTGCAACACCAACTGAAGTTAATCACTGAATCTTCACAGCTGAAGGCAGTAATTGGACATAAAGGAAGTTGCTGTCCATTTAAAATCAAAGAAGGGAAAAGTATTAAGAAGAAATCTGTGTCTAAATGAAGATCTGCTCTATGTACAACAAACAATGTTCCATGTTCTTCATCTAGACATCTAAATCTATTTATTGATTGTATGTCAAGGAGAACTATTGTCTACTGTTAAATAGCGTCTTCTTAATGTAATCTTCCTGAACACAATAATGCATGTAGATGGTATCAAAATAAAGTTTTGAACACACAGTTCTGTGCCACGTAATGCTACAGTGATGCCTGAATCTTTAATGTACATTTCACTTACTCAATCTGTTTTCTAATCTGTTATTGGATTCTTACCTCCTCCTAATATGCCCTAAGGGATCCTCTCTGCCTAGACATGATTATATTGTAGCTGAAGGCTTCTTGATAGCTGCTACTGGGAAAAGCATACAATCAAATAAAAGGAAGAGTCCTTCTTTTTGCCTACTTTTTTCTTTTTTTCCTGTTGTATAGAGCAAGTGTACTACAATAAAAGTGAAGAAATAGACAGATGGCCTGTTCATCTCTTTTGTAGATCAAATCACAACAGTTTTATCAAATTTATGGTCTAGCTTTGGATTAATTAGCCCCAGAACATGTTCTGATTGCTCAGCCTTGAATATCTACAGTGGTAATTTGGGAAAATGCTCCTGAGAATTTAGACTACCTGTAATTTTTCCTGCTATAAGGCTAATAAATGATACTAAAAAAGAACCTAGAGGATATGCCACAATCTGGTTATGAAACAGAAGAATGGATGGAGAACAAGAGTAGGAGGCAAAGTACTAGATCAGGGGAAAAGGAGTTGAAGATCAGAAAAAGAAGATGTAGACACAGACAGGCTAGAAGTCAGGTAGTGAATCAAGAAAAGAGGAATAGAGGAACACAGTCAGAAAATGTCAATGTGAACTGGCTGGCAACTGCTTTCTAAGGGATTGCAAAGTAGTATGGTAGACAGAGGGAATAGGCATTTTATTATTTTTGGATTTTGAGATAATGTTTTGAATAGGCAGTGTGTGGAGCTAAACTCTCATTTCAGATGCAGTGGTTATTCAATTGAGGGTGGGTTTGTTTGTAGTGTCCATCATCCTTTAAGATCAGCATCAATCATGGGGTTATGCTGCAAACGTTTAAGCCAGGTCTATTGCCTAGAGTAGGGTTTCTTTTTTACTTGTGATCCCTTGCTGCCCTCCATGTATAGAGGCATATAAACTAGGTATAAAAATAAAACATTTACTGATAACAAATAAATAATAAATCACTAAACAAGCAAATGAACCTTAAAGGACTTATCCAAGAGGATGAACACTATGCC